AGCATGCAAGATATGCGAGTGTTTGCAGTATTATGTCATCTAGCTCACAACTTAGTCAAAAAGCATTAAGTATTGTATCACTCCTGGTCAAAAGCATTTAAGTTGTGCGACTGTTTGCAGTCATATGTCATCTAGCTCACAATAGAACTGTTTATACCTTAACTATATTATTACCTAAATAAACTTGTAACACAGTCATGATTACAATCGGACCAGCTGTCTAGGACTTGGATTTGCCTCTTATCTAATCACCAAAATATATAGCCATATAAACTACTCTTGTATATGGGATTCAATAATAAAGCTGACAGAATTTGACCAAACCAGAGCTGGAAGGTGATCATATCGGAGCAAAATCTTAGACATAAAACTTCACAATGTGTACATATTTAAAATGTATCTCGTACCTTTCAACTCTACAGGACATATCCTGAAACACCATAACAATAGAATATTTGGTGATGTACTTTCGGTGCTTAGGTATAGTTGAGGCATCTATCCAGTCACGTGCAAGGATGATACGGGAAAAAACTGAATGATAGAGAAGGTTGATCCTAGTGCGAGTGTTTTCTGCAAAAAGTCCCTAGCATTGGATCTAATAGAAGTTGAGGAACCAGAAAGTGAATATCTCGTGGTACTATAATGATGAGAAGACCTGGTCTAATGCACATGGAGTTGTTAGCAGTTAGATATATATAGATGTGTCCTCCCGCACTAAGCCATCAGGGAAGTGATTGCGTTCGACTCACCATAGAAGGCAGCAATTGGCCCTGATGGTCGGCTAATGTAAACACGGATGTCACGAGAGCTCCTCACCTGCTAATTTGAGCTCCAATTGAGGAGCTGACTCAAAAGCTTGGATTTCCATTAGAGGTGAGATATGGATGTTAAGCCGGAGGTGCGTTTGTTTATTCGCACTACTTTCCAGGTTTCCAGGTACGGAATCAGTTAAATACCTTTTTCAGTGTTTGAAACAGACAGTGAGTGCATGATCTGATGGCCAGCTAGAGCCCATGTAACCCGTCCCTCGCAGCCCATGATTACACATCGTGCCACGTTTTGTACTTCGATAAGCTCTGAGAAGTCTCCACATAACAAGAACTCGCAGTATGTAAGAATTCCCCACATAACTTATATAATCAGGCGCAACAGCGATGGATGTACGACAAAAACTTCTACTAAACCTCATAAGTGCAAGAGCAAGATAAAAGAAGATTGGAATATCCAATCAAGTCTTTACATGTAAAAATCAAAGGGTGTACAATCGAGCTAGGCACCACTAGCACCATAATGGAATTATGAAACAATATTACTAGATATCAAAAATAGTTATAGCAAGTGACCTTTGATATGAACATAGTAAGTATTATCGAGCATTATTTTCAATACATATATTTCTAAAACTAGAAAGAATTGAGGTCTACAACCCTCCATATAAAAAAAAGTAACTCGAGGCATATTCTGTACTTGAGAAATATTTCTTTTATATATCATCATCCTCGATCAAATTTAATGTAATTTTCTAAAAAAAATAATTTAGTAATTTGAATAAGCCATACATGGAATAAGTCATACAGACACTTACTCCTGTTATCTATCCATTTATTCGTATCATTGGCCAACATCGCACTATGAATATCATCATAGAAAGCTATCATGAAATTTTGAAATATTGATTCCTATTGCATCTAGGATTCATACATTCAAGTACTGAAAATCCATATGTAGAATATAAGAAAATAAATAACATTACTTTTGAAACAAGACGAATCTTAAGAATCAAAATGTTATCAAGCTTGATACAATCAAGTGAGATTAAAGAGTCTTCTGTTACAACAAGTGTGTAAAGAATTCTCTTTAGTGCAAATAATATATAAATTCATGCCACATAATTTAAAATCTATAATTATTTTCAATTCATCAAGGTAGATGTAATCATCAAGATGTAATATTTTGGAAAAAGTTGAATCATAGAATCATTTTCATAGCTCCATAACAAACCATATCAAGTTATTGATAGTAGTTCTATTATAATATGTATGATTCTCTTCAAATACTTGAATAGATCTACCAATAAGATCATAAAAATTGCAAAACATTTTTTATCAAATAGCATACAAGCTTCTATGCATGTATGGAAAGAAGAAACATGCACAATAAGTCGTTGGATTGATAAAATTCTTCAAGAGTGAAATATATCATGTACTAATGCAACATTCTTTACACAATATTTATATTTGGCAAGTTTTAGATTGCAAATTTTGAGTTTTCATTCTTAAATAATTTACAATTTGAAATTTTTTTATTTGTGTGCATCTTATGAGAATCTAAAAAAATATAAGTTTCCTATCTTACACATAACATTCTCTACTCAGCCTTGTAATCTTGTTATTGGTAGATAATTAAGAAGCCAAAAGCACATCTAATTTTTTGTACACATTATGCTTATGTGTATGATGTAATATATATATATATATATATATATATATATATATATATATATATATATATCTCTCTCTCTCTCTTCTGATATGAAGAAACATACAATCACACTATGTCAAAGTAAAGGACATACAACCTGCATTTTGAACACATGAAATAAAATACTAATGCAAAACATCTTACTTTCAAATTTTTGTAAACTAGTAAAGTATATTGATTTTTTCACTATGAAAGATTTAAAAAAATGGATATATTGTAGGGAAAGAAATGAAATCACTTTAACATCTTATAAAGATTTTTTAGGATGAATGTATTTTTTAAACACTTGAAAAAAAAGTTTCAATTGTTATCATGATGTGAAACTCTAAGTTGATGTGGAAAATTTTTTGATTGGAAATAAAAATGTGATTGCCATTTGACTAACATGATGCATTCAGTCAAACCTCCTCAATAGAAATGGTTAAAATGTTCCATATCCTTGAGCACTACTTAGCATGTAGTTGATTGACGACAAATATTGTTTCCTGCAATGAATGCAATGATCTAAAAGAACTACATGAAATCATTTGAGTGATTCATATATATAACTAACAGAATAATTGGTAAAATCAATAGTACATAAAAGTAAGAATTTACTTCCAACTTCTTCTTACAATAAAATAAAACCACATGTTCAGAAAACATGTTTATTTCTACGATACTCTTTGTAGTTGGACAATTATATACTTATATTTTAACTAGATTGAGTTCATACAGAAGAATCTTCCCCTACTTCAATAGTATGTATACTATCTGATATAGATAAGGATGCTTCTTGAGATGCTCTAGTCATATGTATATAGTTTAAATACAGATAGTAGTGATACTATATGTTACAAATATTGTTTGATGAAAATACCTTGGATAGGTTAGGTGCAATAGACATATTCCTCATTGTGATGCTATTTTGCACATCCCCTTGGTTTCATATCCTTTACGAAGTTATGGGATCTTCCACATTCTTTGACATTACCCATACTTCGAGAGAATACTTCGATTATAAACGCATCTGTTTCTCTTTTTGCTATCTGAACTCTACAGTCGAGTCTCCTTAAGCGCCTGACCAGTAACGACAAACTATATTTAAGTTCAAGCCATCTGGTGGCTCTGAGGAGACTACACAATCTTACAATTACCATAAAGTGCAAGGTACACCATTATCCAAACCACTAGATGGCAAATTCTCAGTGCAAACCACCTACAATTATAATCAGTCACTCACAATCTAACCAGATTGGGAGTGAGATATTCCCTTTAGGTCTTGAGCATGACGTGTAGCTGGTAGATTAACTCCGGTGAAGGGACACGACATTTTTTTGAGATCCTCGAAGTTGTTGGTATGTGCAAGACAATGCTCTTGTAGGTTGGTGCATAATCTAGTAAATTACATGCTGTCAACTGCTTCCCGAGACCTAGCACTTATCGAAACTCGATTGTAAATTTCATTTGTCACTGAAAAGATGAACGTCAATTAAGTGATGCATATGAAGGATATAAATATTATTGTCGTTGAGTTCGCCCGAAAGAAAAGGCGCCAAGACTTCCAAAGGAACAACCACTTGAGAGCAATGAATGATAGCGGAGAAGATGGTAAGTTTTGCATACCATGAGAAGAAACATAAGGGTAAAGTTAAAGTAAAGTAGATCAGGAAAAACCGAAAGAGCTATTTGACTACTTAGAGTTTACGAAAAGGGTTTATGGAACTGACCTCTTTGTGCAAGAAAAGTCAGCATGAAGTTCATCGAACAGTAACGGTGTATCGATTGGCCCTGGACAGAGTTTTGTCGTTCCAGTAGTCAATCTGACTGCCAAAAGCAACTTAAGAAAGAAATATAAAATGATCCAACCAGCTGCAGATGTGGAGGATCCGCGGGATTAGTTTCAATGCAGTGTGTAAAGGGACGATGAATACCATTGATGGAAACAACTGTGGAGCAGGTAGCTTAATTAGGTGAATACAAAAGTAGGCTACTCACAAGCAGCCAAAAGAGATTTCTCACTATAAGTCAGAATTGGCTAGGGCAGATACACCTGGGTGAGAACGATAGGTGGCCAGATTGGACGGCGATGCAATTACTTCAATGATTGTAGCTATATTCCTTTTTCGAAGTTTGAATTGTTTAACATTCTCTTAGGCCAGTGCTGCGCAATTCGTGTTTTTCTTACCTCACATTTCTTGGGAGGTAATCTCACCTTGGACAAAATTACTACACGGACACCATACACATGGTTCGATCCTTCACCCTCGTGATAGTAGTTTGATAGGTCTGTCGGCGACAAACTGAAGATATTCTGGCAAATATTCGGCCCTTAAAAAGCAAATTAAAAAGTTTTCAGATACTCATTTGCTGAGCTTGTTTGCAAGACTCCACTCTGAATGAACTTTCCGTACCATCTTTTCAAAGCATTCAAAACGATTAACCTTACACAAGTGTAAAAGGATGATGTATATGTCACTCCCGTTCCTATATCTTCATAGATAGATTGCAGTAAGAAGATGTGCGAGTGCGAGACACTGAAGGTGGAATGAAGTTTTGCATAAACAAGGCTCACTTTCTTGAAAATGGAGCCTTTCAAAATTGAAGTTACAGTATGAGTCGATTTGGGAGTAGTTGTTTGCCAGTATCAATTGGATCCTTGATTGCCTATGGTAGCGTAAGGTACAAACTAAAGTACAGTGTCTGGGTATGAAGCCCTATCTAACATGTCTAAAAGATGACTTAAACATTTGTAACACTATCCAATGCAGGTGTACTTGTTCCTGAAGTAAATGGATAACCTACCTAACATTATTGTGTACCAGTAATCCCATTTTGGGTTACTGGATTTTCAACATCACCCCACTCATTCTGGGGCTGCTTATGTGGCTGCTACTAAGAATGTGGTTGTTCAGGGCCCCGCCAGATTTGGCCTTTTGCATTTTGCGGACCTCGCTTGATAGTTGCCGTGTCACATCGTCCAAGCATTCAACACCTGTAAGGTATTTCAACACTCTTGCATGAGCAACGACTTCATCTCCTTCAGGCATTTCGGCCGCAATCGCAATCACAATCACAATTTCAGTGTTACATGGCCAAGATATACATGCAAAAGATCAGTTTTTTAGAGAACGTTTCTTACCCATTTTCAGCAAGGCATCCTCGAGATTGAAGAGGTACTCCGCGTTGGTTCCAGACGGTCCGTGGGAGGTTGCTATCTGACTGCAATCATGATTGACCATAGTTCGTGAGTGGAGGTCCTTTCCTACGTGGGCTACCTCATAATTGGTTGATTGTGATAAATGTAAATTACCATATCGTTCCTTTAGAATAACCCTCAATAACCTCCAATTCAGCAAAAGAATGGACATGAATTAATGACAAAGTGACATGAATTAACGGAGAAAAAAGTAAAGAAGGGTAGGGCCACATTACCTGGCCATGTCCTCTAGAGGTGCTGGACCCAAGTAGCACAAATTCGCGCAATTTGAGGTTGCAATGTATCTGTCAATACATTACATTCTCTGTAATCAGTCACTGCTGTAGTTCAATCAGATTGCAGTACACAAAGCAAAGAAAAAGAGAAACAAAATCTGGTCTATGCGGAATTATTACAAGGTTTTACTTACGTCAAAACGCCAGTGATAGCTGGCTTGTCGGAAGAATCAATCGTGTATACGTTTAGATACTCTTTGACATCATACAATCGTTCTCTCAAGTCCAAGTACTGCACAGTAAACGACAATACATTATCAGCATGGGGCCATCGTGCTGCCAATCACAGACCTCGCAGATGCTGCGAGCAATTTACGAAATTTATCAATCTATGATCACACGACTGCTCGCCGGTTATGCTGCGCGTTCGGCCAGAATATATCCTCATAAGTGGGGCACACGATGTGATCATCGGCGGTACAGATTACAAGTTAAATCAAATTCTCCAATTCTTCTCTGTGCTGCTAGAAATGTACACTGAACCCAATGACCTAAGACCCATGTGTACTGAATGTATCAATTCGAATATACATCCTGAATCTAGCATTCAGGCAGCTATAGTTTCCACGGAAAGAAATGCCTGAATATAAGAAAGGTTTCCAAAAGCTTGGCTGCTTACCGCCAAGGTCATCTTCGCTTCTTCATGACCAGAGATGCGATAAGCGGCGCCCCACTGTTAGAGACGAGAGATAACATTAGCTCCTAAAATTTTTTATCGGAGAAACCCGTAATCTCACAGGAAACCAAGATAACAGAGTTGTTTAAACACCGTCGAAGAGAAGAAAGCGATCATACCGTGATGGCACCTTCTTCATACTCCAAAGTAACCGTCCTTCCTGGCTCCTTGATTGTGCCCCTGTGATCGATGCTGCCTACAGACAAGGACATATTCCACAATCAGCGTACTAGACTACATTTCACCACACAAGAATGTGAGTGTGCTGGAAGATTGAGGCCGCATATGTTCGATGTCAGCTAGTGTGAAATCGAAAGTGTCAACGCAATTATAGAATACATCCTCCCTCACATTACCGTACCTTGGGTGTAAGCACGCTTGTAATTCTTGATGTATCCAACAACGCGTTCATCGTATTTGAAACCAGTCTTCCAGATGAGTGAACCATAGCCGAAAACCCACAGCACCATTGTCGCAAATGTGTAGGCTGAGGAACAACCAAAAGAGGCTGTGAGTACTGAAGCTATGATTTCTCGAGCATAGATTGATTGGAGGCTCGACAATTTCATAGAGTCCACAGCAGAACTAGGTCACTCGCAAAATTTTTGGAAAAATCTTGAAGCCCCAACTCTGATAACTTGAACGCAAACGAATTCTACATGCCACCAATTCTAAAGAGGAGTTCAAATGAAGAGTCTTCTGCGTGGCCTCGGTGACTTGTATGCATAAGTGCTTTGCGTTCATGAAAACGGCCAAATATTTGTGGTCCGTCCGAGTCAAGTGAGAATCAGACAGAATTCATTGTCAGCCAGCCTTCAAAGAAACAAGAAGGGTGGACCACTTACGGGTACGAAAGAAGAGGCCGAATAAAACTTTAGTGCCTGACCGCCTGGTAAGCCGAATCGCTTACGCAGTGCGGAAAAGTGAAACTGAGTTCCCCGCACAGAATTCCGGAAGATTACCCTAAGCCGAAACTTTCGCGACCTGACAAAATACGTTGAATATTATAAGAATTACACCGCCCCACTATCGCCAGCATATGTTCTGAGGTAAGAGCTTAATAAGGATATATATATATATGGCCCCCTTGCCCACCGCACGATTTTCCATGCACTAGACGGGCCGCCTTTACAGGAAACTGACGGCAGCTGTCTAAAATCATACTCACTGGTACTACAGTGGTTGCTCTGCACACCTCCTCTGAATCTACCAAAAAGAACTGTCTCCAGAGTTTCGAGTCCAAACTGACCCCACAACAAAACACAGAAAAAAATAAAATTGGGTACCTGATTGTCGTGGAAGGCGGAGTGCTGATGATGTAAGAGAAAAGAAGTAGGATTCCTCGCTCTGGATTGCAAGAGATTTGGCCTTCAGCCCACGTATCGCAACCTGAAAAACCGAACATTCATCCATGAGACTGGTTCAAGCGGACCAGCATTCACATACCAACTCTTCGTCCACCATTTGCTGTAGTGAACAATCCGGTAGCAGGCTTCGGAAAATACAACGATAAGGCCTTGAAGAACATGTTACTGACTCGCAGGACATATATTTGCAATTCAGAAAATTCGTCAATGGGCACCGATTGAATCCACGAGTCCTACTTCTGATGCACTCTCGAGAGAGGCAAGGCACATGCTAAGCAGCCCGTGCCGATCCCAGAGCATTCAAATGTTCCTGTACAATTGAGTAAAATGCAGCGGTATAAAAACTGCACGTCCTGCAGTCTGTAGTTTCGAGTCGGAACATCGCACTGCATGAAAAGGGCAGGCTAGTACGTCCGAAAACACGATTCCGGGGCAACGGTGGAAGCTACTAAGTGGAATTCGCTCCCGGGACTAACCTAATCGCCTCCCGATGAGTCCAGATAACTGCAAAGACTCGAGAGAGTGTAGATTGCGCTGCGCTTACCGCTATGCTCTAAGCAGAAACGTCTCGAGAAGGATACGCAATTGTTCCAGCCCCACTAATCTCCCTCGACTAAAATGCAGCGGCGGCACCGTCGTGAATTCTAAGGAGTAGAATAGAGGTCAGTGTTAAGCAGTGTAATCTCCACAGCAATCCTCCTCATAGACGTCGCCCACCTCTCGAGCACGAGAAAGCTAGATAGAAACTTTGTTCGCCCGAAACTACTACAGAATGGCTGGCAATTGGATCTCTTCTATACACTTCGCATCGCACAGTCGTGCCCAGAAGCGTAAACGAAGCCAGTTGTCCCTGCCCTCCCCACTCCACGCACAGGACACAGGCAGCGCTACAGGTCGGCTCAGAGCCGGCGTCTGTGCAAGAGTGAGTCAGGGGGTGGAACTGAGCAGCTCCGCGGGAGAGAGGCTAGACGCGTCGAACCTGGGCTCTGCACTGTTGAGATTGCTCGGGCCTTTATTCACACTCGACTACTCTACCATCACCACCGCCTCCACCCCCCTCCTCCTCCTCCTGCTCCTGCTTCTGCTGGCCTGTCGTCCCGACTCCCCCCCACCCATCCCACCGCCCATCTCACCAGCCGCATTACAGGAAGAGAGACTTACCAAATCAGAGAAGACGACGAATCAGCGAAAAGAGAGCTGCAGGGCCCGAAATTCGGAAGGCAAATGTAGAAGCAGCAATTTGCAGTCGAGTGCTTCCGTCGGCTCTCGTCGCCCAGAGTGGGCTGGGCTGGACTGGCATACCCCAGCGCCCACACTCAGGCCACGCTCCTTCCCTCGGCGGGAGAGGTGCGTGCGGTGCTAGAGGCGCGGGTGCGTGCTGATACTCTGCGGCGAGTCCGACTGCGTTCGTGGGAATTCAACCAGCGCGCTGAGATCGGCGCGCTGGATTGCCCCTTTTATATTAATGGGCTCGTCGACCCCCACCCATGCGCTTCACCTCGGGTCTAACAACTACGCTCCCTCGCTCACTGACGGTCAGCTTTGGACCTGGCATCGCCGTGTCTGTTCACTTTCGCTGAACCCCCGCCCCGTCGTCGGTCGAGCCATCCCGCTTTACCTCGGGTCAGGCCGACTCAGCGACCAGCTCAGCCCTCGCGTTACAATCGCACTGCGACGGGACGAGAAGGGCTCCCGCCTGGAGCGCCCACCGGCCAAAGTGGCTCGGCTTGTCAGCGTCCTATCCCACGGACAGTCCCTGTCATCTACTGCGTAGTCAGACCCTCAGATTCTTAGTGGGGGAATCGACCATTGATGGTCTGGACATGAGCACCAAGTTGTCCAGAATCTACTCTGTTGTCTCCACTCTGACCCTGAGTCCTCAGAGGGCAGTTCCCGGGAGCAGATGCATCCTACTTGGGAGCTGAATGATGTCCATCTTCTGCAAGTGCTAGAGCTTTTCCGAATATTCGAGGATTCTCGCTTAATTTCCTACGGATCGTCTCTCTGGATTTCCTCTTCCTCCTCTATTACGGCGATCTGACGCATTCTATCCACAGTAGAATTTTGAGGAATCTTTACATCATGGGGATATAGATCCTTTCTAAATCTTAACAGACCAGGGATGCATTTCTTACACGTATCGTATAAAGGTCAAGGTCTGTTACTACATGTTGCACGGACGAGAGGACCCAATAGTAAATAGCAAAAAGGATGAGAACACGTCGTCGAGATTTACATTGTTGAAATCTTACCCCTTTGGGTAACACTCAGCTCCGCCCCAAGAGCATCAACGCAGAAAAGAATTCGTTGTACCCTAAGATTTGTTTATTATCTAGGTCAAGCTGGTCTTCAGGAGTATCCATGCGACCAATACCTAAGGTGAATGATTTCAGTGGATGTCCATTATGAAAAATGTACTATTCAATAGTTTGAAGACAATGACACACTTTGTCACCTAATGTGACCCAGCACATCCCCACCACAAACACATCGGGAGTCCCTTCACATGATCCTCCAAGACTTACATGGAGGATTTGCTTGCTCGCCTTGGTTTCATATAACTCATATCTTTGCACTTGTGTGTTTTCAGCCCTTCATTATAAATAGCCATAGATGACGTCGTTATTCATTTCATTATGCAAGTAATTAAAATCATGTCTATGACTCCTTGGAAACTGGAAAGACTACATCACACCACCATGATATATTGATCAATTTACACTACTCTTTGGTCACTTGCATTACCACTTAGGATATCTCGGGATCTAACACAATATTCTTTAACTATTCAGTATACTAGAATAGAAGTATCGTTAAAAAGTCATGTAAATAATATGGACAAAATTAAGTGAATATGTGCGAAAGAGCTGTGATAAAAAGTAGATGAATAAATTGATAATCAATACTTGAGTAGAGGATTGTCAATTCTGTGTAATAAATCCAAACAAGTTTTGAGTCTAAGTTGTGTTATACAAGATACCTGTACCTTACTTCAAATATAGATGCCATGCATCTTTCTAACAATGAGTAGGAATATCCGCAAGATATCATGTCCTAATCATTGACATTTGACTTTCAAGCTTATGAAACGGGGACGAAGTAATCAAACGTTTATCAAATATCGCATACATCAACCAGAAGTGGTGATGTGAACATGCAATCTAGCAAAACCAAAGTAAACCGAAATTTTCTTTATGAAATAAATATTCATGGCATTTAGCATTCACTTTAAAACGTCTCTATATCATGAACTAATATTGGACTGTAGAATGATGGATTCTGTTTATATTCATAATTTGATTAATGTGAGTAATTCCATACTGCACGTATTAAGGATATATATATATATATATATACACTGAGCGTAATTGGTGACTTGTCATCCATGCTTGTTAAACTCTGTGAAGTATTATTGTTTCCGAGTTTTAGGATGTATGTGGATAATCAACACATACTCTGTACTCTAGGACGAAAGCATAGTCAAATGAAATTCACGTCAATGAGATTTGGGTACTGAGGTAAGGAGAAAAGAATTGAGTATACCGATGAAAGGCCAGCCCCAAACATTATACATGTTCTTGTACCGAGCACAAGAAGGTCGGGAACAGAGCAATTATATAGTCCAAGATTATCGGAGCCGCTCACTTTTCTTGCCCGCAAACGCCGAATAGAGATCCAACCCAGACCGGCCGACTTTCCCACTCCGCGGTGTCCTTACTCACGAAGCCGTCGGGATTCGGGACTAGCCTTCCTCCAACCTACGGGCAGACCAGAGACAGCTCAGCACATTTCTCATATTTTTCATGAGAATAACAAAAAGGTTCTCATACCGACCGCGGTGTTCAAATGTTACGTGTACCGCCCTCGAGAATTTCAGGGATAGCACGTTAAAATTGGAAGCAATAATTGTCGTCCAATCGGTGAGGGATCCCGCAGTCGGAACAGACAGAGGAAAGCACCCCTGTAAGCTCGAAGACATACTGACACGTCATTTCTCACGAGTGTATAAACAGGTCTTTATTGGTTATCTATAATAGCTATATCGATCAAATACCAACTATAATGCACGTGAAGGCTCTCACAGTTCCGTAACTCTGGAACGCTTACGTTCGTACTCTAGAGTACGCCTAGAGTACGCGTCTTCGGCTAACATTTGAATTGCCGTTGGGACGGCACAAATCCCGGATGTAGCCTTGTACGGTAAAATGTTACCCCCTCGATCGCTACTACGGTGAACATTTCAAAGGTTCATGATAATCTTACGGAGTCTTTTACGTTTTACAGATAGATGTCAGTTTTTTTCTGAGCAGCACACGTTTTGCTCGTTCTTTCTCGATGCGATGTTCCCTTTATGTCCTCCGTTCTGCATGCCAATGCAAACGTCTCCTGCTTTTCCATCCACTTCACGCGTTTTTCACAAAAGGCGAGAACTGGTATACCCAGGGAAAACTTGTATGTTGAAAACTGTAGCGCCAAATGGAAGACATGCAAAATTGGGTAAAATTCTTACAAATGCCATGATTTATATCATCTTTTTTAGATTGTATATAGCTCCTTCTAAGATCCGATTACACGTGTGGAAATACAATACGTAGAAGTTAGGCCTCCAAATGTATAACTGGAGCAATCCGTGAGTTCGTCCGATTAAGACAAACGTGCACCTTCTCTCAAACATCTTTCTTACGTTTGCTAGAGTTGGTAGTTCATTGGAATGAATGAAGTCCAAACGTGTTTCCGATATTATTCAATCTCTCGTTTTCACCACTCAACGCCAAACACCTTTCTAATTCTCACTGCTCCCAATTTTATTGGATAATTTTCAATTGTAGTTCCAACACATTCAAGCAAGTTTCTGACGTTTCGAATATAAACATGTGCCCAATTTTTTATCGAGAAATAAAACCCTATCATTTGAAAGAAGCATCAAATACACTAGATATATGCATATATTCCAGCTTGTCGAAGTTTTACCTCTTGAGTTAGTTATGCATGTTGTATTTATGAATAACTTAAAATTGTAGCTTTTTAGGGATTCTAATGAAAATACATTCATTCTTAACAAAGTACACGTATGCTACTATCAATTAAATATGATTATCACATCATGCCAAACAACTCTAAAAAATAAAGTAATCAAATTAAAGATAAGTTTGTTTCTTCTTGAACTTGGTTGCACTATTTATTTGTTACTTATCGTGTAATTTGACGAACTCATAGAGAAGTTTTAGGATCATATCATATTTGCTACATCGTAAATTCAGTAGAAACTTGACGCATGATACTTATGTGACTATCTTAGCTCGTACATTTTGGAAGGAATATATTAAAGCTAACTTTGTTTGATTTTTTTATTATATCTAATCCGCAGTCTTTTTTTCAATTGAACATTGTAGTACAACTAGTATATGAAGACACCAGTTATAATTTTGACCTTTAGCATTATGCATTATAAGATGGTAGTTTTTGTTATAGTAATGAATCTCATTTTTAGTATTTAACATCTACTATGAGGCTGTCCTTTGGCACGCGAAATTGTCAGGTTGGCTGAATCTGGCTGTCCATGTACCAATGTATAGACGGAGATACAAACATGACTGCAGGATGTTAAACTTTGACACTATTCCTGTCTTTATATTCATTTTTGTGTTTCAATATATATATAAAATACTTGAGTGAAACAATTGTGTTCAATAATGATTATATATGTTTTTAATCAGGACATTGAGATTTTTCAAGACAATCTGATGAAGAAAAATTTGGCTTGAGAAGTATGTTAGGTGATTCCATGCTATCTTGGTGAACCTTCTCCAATGACTTGACTCGTAATATCTCAAATCATATGGTTACTTTAGCCCCAAAATATATAACTAGCTATCACCGGCGGAGACTTAAAGATGAGAAATAATTGTTTGTTCTCATCGTGGAATATATGTACGGAGATGATGACTATGAATTTTAAAGATATATATGTGCCACCTAGACAAAAT